CCCATGCGGGGGCCCACGCAGCCCCCCTGCCCCGCCCCGCCCCGCCCCCCAGGCCACAAGCGCAGACCAGGCTCCACCCCCACAGCACCGCCTCTCTCCCGCCGAGGCGGCGGTTGGCCGCCCGGGGCAGCCGCCGCACCCTTGTCCAGCTCCATGAGGGCCGAGTTAGCGTCCAGCTCCTGCTCGCCGTAGCCCGCATCGGCCAGGAACGACTTCGCAGCGCCAGCAGCCATGACTCTCCGAATGATGCCACAGTTAGGACACGACTTCCGGCAGTTACCACCCTCAGTGCGGCGCATGCGCACTCATTCCACCACTAGGGCGGTTGGGTGTAGCTGGTGGGACATGCGCGTGCGCCCTCTCCGCCAGCAGCTGTTGAGCTAGGCGGTCAGGCCGTGCGCGTGCGCAGTCGCACTCCCGCCGGATAGGAGGTAGCATTCAGTGCGCATGCACAGCGACTGACTATTGGGCTTCATCGCCCGAAGAGAGCAGGGACCTTGGTGGCTCGCTCTGCTGAGGCGCCCAATGGGAGCTAAGGGGCGGAGCCTCCGAGCTTTCCCCGCCGGGGTGCTGTCCAATGAGGAGCACGAGCGGGGTTTGGCGGGTAGCGAGTTGGCGGGAGCTTTCGTCGTGCAGCGGTCGTTTTCGCCGTGCCGTGATCGTGCTGTGCTTGGACATGCTGTGCCGCTCGCTTCTCCGCCGTGTCCGCGGCGGCCCGCAGCGTGAGTCACGGACCCCGGGCCCAGGCACAGCTGCCGCGGCTCGGACGGTTCCCCCTAGCCAGTGTCCTCTGCCGGGAGCTGGAGCTGATGTCCCGGGCTCACGGTGCTTGGCTACAGCCTGCGCCTGGCGCTTTGCCCGCTTCCCTCCAGAGGAAGGGGATGGTGCTCGGAGCCCCCCGCTGCTCGGGGCCGCACCTGCGGGGCCCTGTCCCCCGTGGGGACCTGTGACCTTCTGCTGAGCCGGTGTCTATGAGGCTGTGGCCCCGGGAGAGCCGGTGGGTTGTATTTCCGAGTGGCTGGTGTATAACTGGATTCTTTCTCTGAACCTGTAGGCCCATCTTGGCAATACCCTCTTCAGCATCTCATAGACTGCTATCAGTGCAGTCGACAAGACGACCACCTCTCTTACGGAGAGCTGGGGATGCCAGTCCCCCCCTTTGGCTGCACCTTTCCTACAGGTAAGGGATCTTTCTTGGGAGTGCTGTGGAGGGACAAAGCTGCAGGCATGCAGGGGAACAGATGTTTATTGCTTGTTTTGTTTTAATAAATAAATAAATACGCCTCATCTTACACCTGGGACAATAAAACTGGTAACTTAAGAGGAACAAGCTCTAAGGCCAAAATGCCCTGTGCTGTTTTGCATGGTCTGTGCAAAAGCCTAGTTTTTTATTTTCAAGGTAAACTGATTAACGCTATGATGGAACAAACCCATGCGAAGTGGTAGAATGGCAGTTTCCCTCGGTGAAAAAGCTGTTGTTTAGTGCAGTAGAACCTGATTTTTTTTTTTTTTTTTCCTGGAGGGCTGGTTTGAAACCTGCTTAATCAGTGTGCTTAATTCACTGTATTAGGGGCCAGCCATTTAGCTGATTGCTTGACTTGCTTTAAAGGTCACAGATATTCTGACCAGGTACTGCTCATGAGGAGTTCTATGCAGCTGATTAGAGAAGCACCACCCTTTGAAATAAAAGCTGCTGAAAACACAGCTGAGTACCTCAGGAGTCCTGCACAACTGTTTGCTGTAGCCATACCTGTTGAGTGGAATTTCATCCAAGTCCTACTTCTCTGTGATTAATCACCGGCACTCCTCCGACAGAAGCTTTATTGACTACAAAACATCTACTAAGCACAAAGCAATTCATCAGCTGGGGTTGCCAGAATACAAGTAGTCAACTTTATTGGGATTGCCAGAATATAAGCAGACAGTTACCAAAGACTGAGTGCATTAACGTGACTTCACCGCTTCACAGTCCATTTAGACCTGTTACACAGGAGTTACTTCCCTCAGCCAGTCGTTCTGGGAAAGCTTCCTAGGTTGCGCTGTTGTTCCAAGTCCAAAGGCTTGGTCCTCCTTTTAGAGATCCATGCAGATCTCTCCCTCAGAAACTCATGCAAATGGTTCAGATAGCATACAGCAAACACTGACTTCACTTGCTTAGACTGTTTAACCCTTTAGTGACATAATCATTATCAATGGTAGCCAAGCTTGTTATATAATATTTTGGCTCATAGATCCTAAAAATACAATAGCACATCCTTGCACCTTGAGAAAGGGCTGCTTTTTCCCCATGCCAAGTAGCAGCTTCTGCCTAGCTGCTGTTGCCACTGCTTAGCATGGGCAGGTGAGTGTGGGGCAGGCTGGGGTCAAGGTTGTGCACATGGATTCCAACTGGTCCACTCCACTGGTCACAACAATGTGTGTGATTAACACAATTTAAAAAATTAACATGTTAATTTGTTTTTGCATTAATCATGTAAGTTAACTGCAATTAACTAACAGCCCTAATTTATACTGTAAGATTCAGAGACGAGACATCTTGGTTATCTTTGTCTTCTGCTTATTCAGCAGTTTATAGTAGTGAGGAATTTTAGATTAGTGGCAGAGACACAACAGGCAAATCACATTAACTGTCTATTTTCCCCTTTCAGAACCGTTAATATTCTATCTCTAACCCTGCACATTAAGCACTATATAAATACTTACGCTGTAAATATGTAAATTACTATGCAAGTGCTAATTATTTCCAGATTTATGCAGTGGCTGTTTATGCAGCTCTCTTTTGGGGAGAAGACCAGGAGAAAGCTATTTTAATGCACAGAAATGAATCCTACTCTTTTCTCTTTCAGCTCCAGATTTGCAGCACATACTTGCAGTTGCAAATGAAGAAGGTTTTGTCAGGCTGTATGATACCGAATCTCAAACCAAGCAGATCTTTAAAGGTGAATGTCATATAGAATGAGATCTGAACTAGGTGTGAGAGAGTGTTTATGACTTACTGAAAGCAAAGAGAGGTTTTCCTGTTTTAACCCATACTTGTATGCAGTACTTGTTTCTTTTCTTTATCATTTCATGACTACTGGTTACAAAGCAGCATTACATAAAGAAGTGTCCTTACTACTGCTGCTTTAAGTGAATTATCCAAAGTACTTAAGAAGAGCTGCTGACCAGCAAAAATTCACTGATTTAAGTGTTGATTAAAAAAAAATCTTAAAAATACTGTCCCACTGCATTATTACCAAGCAGCAGCTTCCAGCAGCATCTGAACTAAACTGAGCTTTTGTTTACCCCATCAGAGTGGCTGGCACACTCGAATGCTGTCTTTGACATTGCCTGGGTACCTGGAGAACACAGAATTGTAAGCTGACTTGTACTGTCTGCCTTTATTTTTAATGCTCTGATGAATGACTACAAATAATAACTAAATCCCTTTGCATCTTCTGTTGAAGGTAACAGCTTCAGGAGACCAGACAGCTAAAGTGTGGGATGTGAGAGCTGGTGAGCTGCTTGGTATATGTAAAGGTCACCAGTGCAGCCTGAAGTCAGTTGCTTTTTCTAAATTTGAGAGAGGTAAATGTCCATGTATCTTCCTTTGACATGTTTTTGTTCCCCCTTACGGATCTCTGGAGGCTGAAGGCCTCTCTTAGTAGCACAGGCAGTTCCTCAAGCAGGCTTCTTATCTCCACCCTGCTAATCTGATCCAATTGTGGCCCGCTGGAAGCATCTCTAAAGAGGAAAAGTCATTTTTGTTTCCAGACCCATTTCATCAATATCTAAGATGAAGTAGGATTCCTTACTCCTTCCCAGAGTGCCAGCAGTGATTTAGGGTCAACAGCTTCTGTGCATCAGTAGCCTGGTTCCAATTTAAGGAGTGTATCTTGCAGTATGTAAAGGATCCCAAAGCCATTCAGTCCCCTTATGCATTTGTGGGCTGTTGTCTACAAGTGAAAGTCTGCCTGCCCTTCTTTTGTCAAAAGGTACCAAACACCTGGCTGCACTTTCTTACATTCTAAAACAGGAGCAGACAGTTATTTTGGGTGGAGAGCTGCTTACTGAGTTTTGGCACACCATTGAGGGCCACATGACAGGCAGCCAGAGGCAGATGAATACTAATTTTCTAAATTTTTTAGGGGCCCCACAGACCGATAGAATGGCCTGGCAGGCCGCATGCAGCCCGTGGGCCACATTTTGCCAACCCCTTAGCAGTGAGCCCAGCCTCTGTGTCCTTACAACTGGGTTCCCAGGGGTTGCAGCAGGGGGTAGACAGATGAGCCCAGCCACTGTCACAGAGATGATGCTATACTGACTTCTGTTCATTTCTAAAAATGAACTCAATTTTTTTAAAGCTAATAACTCTGTTTCCCATAGCTGTCTTCTGCACGGGGGGCAGAGATGGAAACGTCATGGTCTGGGATACCAGAGTCAACAAGAAAGGTAATTTTGCTTTAAGATGTATATGACCTGGATTTGTCATTTGTTCTGCATTAGTACTTGAATGTGGTCACAGGCCTGCAATACAAGCCAATGGGAACAAGGGTGCTACATCAGTAGTTTAAAAGCTAGAGAACTGACTTCTGTTTAGTGAATCCCTTTATGGGAATCCTGAGATTTGCAAAAGTCTATTTAGTGGTATGTTTTACAGGCTATAATTGGTCCCCTACATTTCTAAGACCTGAGTAGTGTTTTTTGCGGGCCAGGATTGCAAGATGGCCACCTGGAGGTAACAGCTCTTATCCAAGACCCCAAGGTGTTTTTATCTGTTGTTACTAGTCATTCTGAAAATGATGGAATTCAATTTACCCTGTATCAGCCAAGAAAGTTTAGTGGCATATCCATGACCTATCAAAAGTGTGAAAGATGCCCCTATGTGCTATGATGGTTTTAATGAACAGTGTCAGAAAGTGAAAGATTTTCTGATCAAAGAATGAGCTGCTCAGTTGGAAGGCTTTAAATTGTTCTGAAATGTTTTTGGCATTGACCACATGTTCCACAGTCTGCCTTTCCTAGATTGTATCATATATGACAAATTTTGAATCTAGCTCTGCACCAGTCTGGTGCCACCAGTCTGGTGGTTTTGTAAGGTGCTCAGATGATGTGGTAGGGGATATAAGACAAATTTTGAATCTAGCTCTGCACCAGTCTGGAGCCACCAGTCTGGTGGTTTTGTAAGGTGCTCAGATGATGCGGTAGGGGATATAAGATAAATCAGTGAATAGAAACACATTGTATACTAACAATTTAAATGTATAGATGTGATAATTAACTAATCAACCCTTTACTTAATAAAGGGAGAATTTAATTTGTAAAGAGTCCTGGTTGTAAATATGTCTATGCTGGAGATTACAGTGTAATCAGAAATAGTCTAGATTACCACCAAGTGGTATACTAATTTACTCTGCTTCTTGGGAAATGTACTCTGCTTAAAGACAGCATGGGTATCTTCACCCTACATCACAGTCTCCTGTCTATTCGTAACCTTTTGTATGGCAACTGTTACCCATGTGCTTGTGTCCTTTACATTCTGCTTCCAGGCATCTTCCAAAGTAACTAACAATGCTTGTTTTCAGAGTACACTAATAAAATGAAAGGCAGGCTTAGTCCCCACAAGGGATCTATTTATAGTTGTTACCTGCTTCATGAATATCGTGGCTGTATCATCTATATGTGGGATGAGGTTTCCTGAAATTGTATTTCAGATGGATATTACAGACAGGTGAATCAGATTGGTGGAGCTCACAATGTAGCTGACAAGCAGACGCCTTCCAAGCCAAAGAAGAAAAAACAGAACCTGAGAGGACTTGCTCCCTCTGTGGTAAGGTTATAGAAAGTGAAAAGAATCTAGGACTCAGTTTCCCATGGCCATGTTTTGTACAGCAGTCTTTCAAAGTAAAAAATAAGAGCACCTCGATTGGGAAGAGATATCTAGTCTGAATATGACACAAATGCTTAAACTTATCTCCCCAAAAGCCTTGTCCTCTGACAGTGTTTCATGGCTAACTGCTGTGGTTACTTTTGATTACCTGTGTGTTCTTGCTGGTCAATGAAATATGAGAACTAGTTACACTTAGGCAAACTGCACATAGTCTCCAGGTGGAATTAAGGACCTATGTGTGTTTAGGAGCATCACTTTTTTTCCTGGAGCGAAGATGATGGTGAGAGTGCCCAATGAATTTTAAACATTAAGAGAACCGAGGAGGTGTAGCTGTTCCATCTGCAAAATCCTGGTGAGATGGCCTTTTTGCTTCTAGCCTGTGACATGTTTTTAAATCTGGGCCCAGTACCATTGTTCACAATGGAAATTCCCCTTGAAGAGAACTCACAGGATAAGGACCAGCTTCCTAAACTGCAAGTACCATTTCTGGGCCTCCCATCTATGGTAACTAACTTAGTGGGAAACCCAAGCATTTTGTCAGATAATAGGAAGAGCCCAAGAAAAGTGGGCCTTTTTTGAACAAGGTTATAGTTAACTTGCAGTCTGCCAAAACTCAGAGAGATTCTTGTTGCAAGGAGAGTGTCTTTCTTTTCTCAGACACTCATTGTCCTTGACTTTATAGAGAAAATGTCTTCTGCATGGAAAGAAAACCAATGTCTTTCTTCTTCTTTAAGGATTTTCAGCAGAGTGTTACAGTGGTGCTGCTTCAGGATGAACACACCCTTATCTCTGCAGGAGCTGTTGATGGGTAAGAAGAGAGGATGCTGTTCTGTGTGCAGAACTGAATCTTGTTACTCGTGGTAGATCTTCTGCATTACCTGGCTTGCAGTGAACTGCTGTGAACTCTCCAGGTGTCCCTGACAGCATCAAATAGACTAAGAGCCACAGGTGATCCAAGCAGTCATCAACTTAGCTGCTGGAGGATGGCATGCATTGTAAAAATGTCTGCACTCTTATAACTTTTAGGAAGACTTTAAAGTATGTTTTAATAGAGACTTGATAATATTGCCCTTAAAAAGCTCTGTATATTGTAATTGGTAGTTGTTTTTCATCTACAGTGCTTGTCCCTAAAGTAAGTGGCCACTCCTCTTTTTCCCCTCCCCATGTTACATGTGGGGAAGCTGAGACACAGTTAGGTAACGGCCTTGCAGAGCAAGGAATCAGGTCCAGGGTCAAGAGATGTAGGTAAGTTCTGCGACACTGGGTTGTTCTATTTTTTCTGAACACGGTGCTAACTTTCACCCTGCCAGAGACTTAATTAGCTGGCCAAGCAGTGAATCTTTTTTAAAACCTCTTCTAAAGATGTTAAAATTGTAGGCTTTTTGTGACTCAATCTTTAAAAGCCTGGTGCCCTGTAATGGGATTGGGATGGGAAGTACATATGGTTTCTTTTTATGACTAATGGCTGAGTTTTTCTTCAAACTTCGTAGTCACGTAGCAGATGATACTGTTGGAATTATTCTAGTACCTTCACTTTTACTGAGGGGAGGTTGAAAAGGAAATGCTCTTTGGGTAGTAAACTGCTATTGTTTCCTTTTTGCCCATCACACCCACATATGTCCTTGAATTAGGCTGTGTTTTTGGGCTCCAGGTGTTTAGTTATCTCAGAGTACTAACAAACTACTGCTGGTTACTATGGCAATTAGCTCCTTGGAGCTTGTCACAGGACCAACATCTGTGGCCAGAGTCTCACTGATGTCCACTTGAATGATGCTAACAGGAATCTGCTCGTGGAGAGCTCTTTCAATTTGACTATCAAAATACCAAGGTATCCTTTTTATTGCATGTTTCATCTGGGAAAATTCACTTCAGTTCTTGATCTCACAGGATCAGATTTTACATTTGTTCACCACTGAAGTCCACTTCTTGATTTGAAACATTCCCCTGCTTTCTCTTTACATACATCCATTAGAAGAGAAAGACAGGAAGGGGCCAGGCCAGTGCCAAGTTCACTTCATAGCCAAGCAATCTCAGCTGACTTCTTGGCACACCTGTGACCCAGTTTGTTTTAAGAGTGCTGTATCTCTCAATTTAATGCGTACAAGATGGAGAACTGCCTTCAGAATATCAGTTTAAAAGTTTCTATCAGTGCAGTGTAGAAGTTGAAGACCCATGTGTTTTTTGAATTTCAGCATAATCAAAGTCTGGGACTTGCGAAAGAACTATAGCATTTATCGGCAGGATCCAGTACCATTCAAGTCTTATTGTTACCCTGGGACCAGCACCCGCAAACTCGGTAAGCTATTACATTCAATAAAAATGCATCACATAAAATATATTAATAAAAGTGCATCACTCAGCTTTGATCTGAAAAGTGGCGATGCCTTCTAGTCAAATCACCTTTTTTACTCTTTATCAATGATTTCCAGGTCTGATTTGGTTGGTATGGCTTAGACCTGTTTATACAGGCAGTACCAAAAATTCAAGCTGAGATCTAAAAGTCCTGTTTCTGCATCATCAAAACAGTGAGTGCAGATGTGCAACGTGTTAGCACCAGTGCCATTTACATTGGTTTTGTGCACAGGTGTAAAGTTATGCTCAGATCTGGAGCAGATAGACCAAGTAGAAAGCAGGGTAGATTTGTATCTTGTAAACTAACCTAGGAAAGAAGATAAACAGATGAAGCACAAGCTTTTGTGAGCTGAAGCTCACTTCATCAGATTCTGTGAAAGGATGTACAACAAGCCAACACCAACCTGATTATCAGATAGCAAGACTGTAGGCTGCCACACCACTAGGTGGAGGGAGCAGATAACAGCTTCAACAAAGTTATCCCAAGCTATCCATGCAAATCTACTTTTCCTTCTACCGCAAGCTACTGACTAGAACTGCAAACACAGAACCTAAGCACTGTATAAGTTACACTGCAGGTTTTTTCCTGAGATAACTTTACAGCAAAGTGTAAAGGCTGTAAATCACGTGGTCTCAGGCTGTAAAAAAAACAAAACAAAACAAAAAAAACTTTGGCCCTCTCCAGTTGCTTTTGTATAAATATAACTGATGAGAGAATGTACCTCTGCAGTTTAAATTTAACAAATAGTTTCAATGATAATGCATAAGATGAATCAGGTCTGATTTTTGGTTGCTGTGTGGACCTTTAGAGAGAGAACTGGCATACAAAGTAGTAAAACTTTCATTTAAAAAAAGTCAGCACGTCTGATTCTGAATGCACAAAATGTGGATCTCCTAGATAAGAAAGAACCCATTTTCTGTGATAACCTTTTAGAATCAACCCATGCTTTGAGGCATAGTTTACTATAAGCAATCTTGATTTTTTTTTTTTCCTTATTATTATTTCTAGTGATTCTGCATCTATTTTGGTTTAAAATCTTTGTCTCCTAGTTCCGCATGGAAGGAATTGTATCGAAATAAACCAGTAGGCCTTAGAATCCAATATCTTGTCTCTTGTTCTTTCCTGAAGCCTTTTTTTCCCCAAAACATTTGACCTTTTTTTATTTTTTATCTCCTCTAACTCTGGACAGTTGTATTATTCTTGTACATTGGCTGTTTTTTA